ACTCCAATTTAAAAAGTTATTTTGAAATTGACCAGCACTTACTTTTAGTTTGTAAGACTTCCTAAATTCTAGCTAGATATTCCAATCAAACTCAATTACCTTTTGGTTGTTTCCTGGTTCACACAAATCTTTTCTCTTTTTGTGAACCAGGAAAGGGTTAAGTGCTAGTTTTATTCCAAAGTGCATGCTTTATTTTTTTTTTCTTTCCTTTCTTCAACTTGAAACTTTCACTGACACAGCTCCCAAACCTGCTTGTCTCTAGTCAGTGAAGCGGCCTTCTTCCCTTTCTGTGAGCCAGGAAAGGATTAAGTGCCCATTCTGTCCCAAACTGTACACCTCTTCCCTGTCTCCACCTTGACACTTTCATTGACACAGCCCCCATACCTGCTTCTTGATAATCATGGAGACACAGTGGGGTTTCTACTGGAGTTTTAAAGTGAGAGTAAACTTTTTTCTTTTTCAAAAGTTTCCAAACCATTTACGCTCAAACCCTCTGTTCACACTGTTCATGCAAACTGATTACAACTTTCCTTCTGCTCGTGCTCCTCTCATTCCTACATGCTTAAACTTTCTTGCCTTTCCTTCTATCTACTTATCCCTCTGGTGGGATAAGCCCCTTTAAAACGGCACATGTCTTACTTCTTATTCTGATCTGACACTTCTCTTACCCTCCTCTACTTGCCTTGACCAATCATAACCTGAAAATATTTTCTTTCTCTCTCTCTCCCATCCACTTGGTCCTCTGAGGCTACTATAGTCAGGGAGGGAGGGAGAGAGGGAGAGAAAGAGAAAGAGCCTTGGTGGTTGCCCCATTTAATGGCATGGGCAGGGGCTTTCCCATGACAGCCACCAGCCTTGTTCCCTTCCTAGATAGCCCCAACTACCCCTTGGCATTCCATTGGTATCCTGCTAGACTATGCTAATCATAAGACCTGGAATTCCCCTGGCAGGGAAACCCTGTACCTCCCTCATAATCTTGGGGTATTCTTTTGATAGTAAAGGAAGAGGACAAGGAACTCAAGGTTGATTTTAGGTAGTAGTTTAATCCATTTGAGTTTCTTACCTTTGGGGCAGTGTGATGGATCCCTGCCAAGATATTAATCATCCTCAGTCTGGGGCGGTGGCCAGACGAATCAGTGAATCCCCCCTAAGAAGACCAAAATCCCTCTGGTAATTATAGAAAACAGACAAAAGCAGGAGGAGCTAGAGTGTGCATCACCCTGATTGGTGGATAGTTTTGGTTTTCCACTTAGTAATATGTTTGGGCAGTAAGTCAAGGTTATGCCCAAACATAAGTTTGTGTATCGATCACGTCCTGGCCGCATGTAGGTCGCAATATTCTTGTTTTGGCTTTCATAGTTCATAGTGTCTTCAGTTATGACTCAGGGTCTCAAATATAATTCAGTATCTAAGCTTTGATTATAAACAGATTATCATGTTCAACTGTCCTCCTTTCACAGAGTTTCAGTTTTTATGGGTTTTTACTTATTACTGTTGCTTTATGGCTTTTTCCCAATTGGGAACCCACAGACTTCATCCTTAAAATTCACAGGCAGCTTTCAGAATTCCTGAGTATGTGGAATGACCAAGGTTCCCCTGTGCATGCATGTTGTTCTCGGCTAGAAGAATATAGTGATAATTTCTTTGCTCCTGATCCCAGTGCTTTCTAGTTTTTTTTTTTAATTATCTCCATTTTTAAAAATTCAGTATTTTATTTTTTCTACAGTTATATGTAAAAACAATTTTTAACATTCATTTTTAAAACTTTGAGTTCCAAATTCACTCCCTTCATCCCTGTCTACCTGCCCCCCCCATTGAGAAGGCACACAATTCAATATAGGTTATATATGAGTAGTCATGCAAAACATATCCATAATTGCCATGTTGTGAAAGAAAACATAGACAAAAATCTCAAGAAAAATAAGGAAAGTTAAAAAAGTATGCTTCAGTCTGTGTTCAGGAACCATCAGCTCTTTCTCTGGGGAGGGATAGCATTTTTCATCATAAGTCCTTCAGAGTTGTCTTGGATGATTGTATTGATGAGAGTAGCTAGGTCATTCACAGCTGATCAACTTACAATGCTGCTGTTACTTTCACATAGTCCGTTTCACTTTGCATCAGCCCATACAAGTCCTTCCAGGTTTTACTGAGAGCACCCTGTTTGTCATTTCTTATGGCACAATGGCATTTCATCGTAATCACATACCACAACTTGTTCAGCCATTCCCCAATGGATGGGCATCCTCTCAATTTCTAATTCTTTGCCCCCAAAAAAGAACTGCTATAAATATTTTTGCACATGTGGGTCCTTTTCCTTTTTTTTTTTTTATCTCTTTTGGGCTATAGATATAGGAGGTCCCAGTGCTTTGGAAGCAAGAGCTTCCATTGGGGGCAAAGCTGTCTTCTCTTCCCAGCCTTAAAAAAAAAGACCATTTCTAGGCTTGGAAATCCCAAGGCAAACAGAATACGGGACCCAAATACTGGGCCCTGCACTCTTGAGGCTTCAGTGGTGTCTGGACGAAAATGCATTATAATCAAGATTAGAAGGGAAGCAGAAAGCTGGGAAACAATCTTTACAACAAGTGTCTCTGATAACGGCCTCATTTCTCAAATACATAGAGAACTGAGTCGAATTTATAAGAATAGGAGTCATTCCTCAATTGATAAATGGTCGAAGGATAAGAACAGGAAGTTTTCAGATGAAGAAATTAAAGCTATCTATAGTCATATGAAAAATGCTCTAAATCACTATTGATTAGAGAAATGCAAATCAAAACAACTCTGAAATATCACATCACATCTATCAGATTGACTAACATGACAAAACAGAAAAATGATAAATGTTGTTGAAGATGTGGAAAATTGGAACACAAATGCATTGTTGGTGGAGTTGTGAACTGATCTAACCATTGTGGAGAGTAATTTGGACCTATGCCCAAAGGGCTATAAAACTATGCATACCCTTGCATGACCCAGTAACACCACTTCTAGGTCTGCATCCCAAAGAGATCATAAAAATGCAGAAGGACCCACATGTACAAACTTATTTATAGCAGCTCTTCTGTGTTGGCCAAGACTTGGAAATTGAGGGGATGCCCATCATCTGGGGAATAGCTGAACAAGTTGGTATATGAATGTAACAGAATACTATTTGCTATAAGAAATGATGAGCAAGTGGACTTCAGAAAAACTTGAAAAGACTTGAATGGACTGATGTTAAGTGAAGTGAGCAAAACCAGGAGAACATTGTACACAGTAACAGCCATGTCGTGAGATGACTAATGTTGATAGACTTAGCCCTTTTCAGAAATGCAAGGATCTAAGACATCTCCAAAAGTCTCATGATAGAAAATATTATCCACATCAGAGAAAGAACTATGGAGTCAGAATGCAGAACAAAGTATACTATTTGCTGTCTCTTTTTAAAAATTTCTTCCTTCTCATGGTTCCCCTCATTGGCTCTAATTCTTCTTCACAAAATGATTAATGTAAAAATATGTTTAATATGAATGTATATGTGGAGCCTATACCAGATTGCACACTGTCTTAGGGACGGAGGAGGAGGGGGAGAAAATTTAAAACTCAAAATCTTATGTAAGAGAAGGTTCAAATGAAAAATAAATATATTAATTAATTATTACATTAAATTATATTTATATTTTATATAACATAACAACATATTAATTATATAATTATATAATATAATAAAATATACTTATTATGTTATTATATACATTATAATTTAATTAATTAATTTATTTATTATTAAAGATAGAATAAATCCACATAAAAAAGAAAATGCATTGTCAAGTGTTCCCAAGCTGCCCCTTTCCTACTTTTCCAGTCTCGTTTCCATTACTTCCTCAGTCTTGCTCTCTTTCAGCCAGACTGCCCTGCTTGCTGAACCTCTACACAACATGCCATCTCCCACCACAGTGTCTTTGCCCAGACTGGACCCGAGGCCTGGAGTGCTCTCCCCACACCCCCCTCTCTGCCACCCAGGGCCCCTAGCTACCTCTGAGGCTGAGCTCCTGTGTCACCTCCCACATGGGGCCTCTCCTGATCCCTGCAGATTCCAGTGCCCCCTGTCCTTCTGAAATGACCTGGTATTTGCTTATCCATCTTCATCCTGTGTCCTCCGCTGGGATGCAGGCTCCCTGCAGACAGTCACTGTGTCACCTTTGTCCTCAGCTCCTGCTCCCTGGCACAATACCTGGCAGACAGTAGGGTTTCCTGTGTGCTTGTGGAGGGCCACCTCTCCAAGTGCCCTTGGGCTCCATGGGCTCTGGACTTCCCAGATGTCCCTCAGGTCTAAGTCAGCCCCACTGTGGATTGGGGCTCTATTGTTCTGGTGATGCTGACAGTGGGTTGTCTAGGCTTTGGTTGAGTAGAGGGTCACAGAGGCTGGTGAGATGCTGTGCATGCAGAGACTGCCTGCAAGGGGCAGCTCTCTAGGAGTGCACCCATGTGCCATGACTGCTCTGGTGTGAGTCAGGCCCTTCAGCATGTCCATTCTTGCATGAGGGCCTGGGTGTACTGGCTCTGGGCCAGGAGGAGTAAGGAGGCATCCAAAGGAAGAAGACATTTTTTGGCTGTGCTCATCAGCCCAGTTACCTGGTGCAGTGGCTGCCCTCAGACTGAACTCCAGAGGAGAAGCTGGGGCAGAGTGTGTTGGGAGTCATGCCCTGGAACTAGACACAATGAGATCAGATTTGTGGAGCAGGGGATGAGATGTAAGGCCAGATTATAGTAGGCAAGGGGTCAGGCTGATGGGTGTGAACATTGCACAGTGTGGGATGGGGAACGATGGGTCAGGGCATGGCTGGTCATGACCGTGGTGCAGTGTGTGCATGGTGTGGTGGTCAGTCAATTGCTATCTCGTGTGGCCTTCTGGCCTCCACAGACAGTCTTGTGTGATATTTGTGCCTCCCCCCTCCACTCTGTATTGTGGGCCCAGGATAAGCAAAGAGGACAAGTGGGAGGCCAGGCAGGTGAGGTGATGCAGTTTATTACAAGGTGGGTCCTGCATGGGGTCATCTCCTGCACACTTTGAGCCTAGAGAGGCCCTGAGAGCTGCAGGCAGCCCTGGGATGATGCACGCTGAGTTAGGTGCATGTGGAAGCAGAAGCCATGCGTGGGGGTCAGCCATAGGAGGAGATGCGTGGGGTACCCTGGCTGCACCTGGGGTGGGTGAGGTGCTCAGGAGCAGCTTGGTAAACTGAATGCCTCTGGGGCTGTTGCTGGCCAGGTGTTCAGGCTGATGGTTGAGGATGGAGGCTGGAGGCAGGAGGCTGACAGAAGTTGGGGAGGGGATGAGAGGAACAAATGCCCTGTGGTCAACAGCAAGAGTTTTGGCCACAGGTGGTGGTGCAGCAGGCGGGTCTGCAACATGTGGGCTGGCAGATGAGGGAGACAGAGGAGGCAGGTCGGCAGCAGGTGGTGGCTGGACAGCAGGAAGGGGCACAGCAGCAAGAGGAGGAGGATGTGGTGGTGCAGCAGGAGGGTCTGCAGGAGAGAGGCACACAACAGGCAGCTGGGCTGCACACAGGCCTGCAGATGAGGGACACACAAGAGGCGGGGCAGCAACAGCTGGGCTGGCAGCAGGAGGAGGCTGGACAACAGGCTGTGGTCACACAGCAGCTGGGCTTGCAGCACACAGGCAGGGCGATGCAGCTGCTGAGCTTGCAGCACAGAGGGACACAGCAGCAGGACTGCACTGAGCAGAGAGAGGCAGAGCAGCTAGGGGCCTGGCAGCAGGACTGCTGGAAGCCTGATGGCGAGCAGCAGGAGGTGCAGACACACTGGCAGGGGCTGGGTTCACAGGCTGGCTGGCAGGTGGCGGGCACAGAGCAGACTGGGCTGCAGAGCAGGGTCAGGCAGGAGGCTGGTGTGCAGCAGGGAGCTGGGCAGCAGGAGGGGCCGCAGCAACCGGGTTCACAACAGCTCTCAGGGCAGTCGTCCAGCTGCCAGGAGGAGCCCGTGCCCACACTGGGCATGCAGACGTTGTTGCCACAGCTCATGTCACTGGAGGAGACGGAGATGGCTGAGGACATGGGAACACAGGGCCCAGAAAAGCAGGTGTCTGCCATGGTGGGAGCAGCTGTGTTGGGTGCCTGGGGCAGCAAAGAGTGTGAGAGGAGTGTCAGTGAGGTGCTGAGTGCCTGATGTACGGAGTGCTTGAGCCTCACTGGGATTGTGCTTGTGGGTGTGGATCTGTGAGTGTTTGTGTGACCTTGTGAGTGTGGATGTGGGTCTGTGAGTGTGGGTGTGAGTGCAGTTGTGGGGCTGTGTGTGAAGGTGGTGTAGCCTGGTGGGCTTTTATATCCCTCCTGCAGGAGGATGTGCCAAGGGGAGACTGAGCCTTCTTCCCTGTTGTTTATGGCTGGCTGCTTCCCCCGGAGCCCATCATTAGGTGATGGTGACATTGTTCAGGAGATGGCCAGCCACCCATAAACATCCTCAATTTAGTTTCCATTTCCACCCTTTAGTAAACATCTATGAAGCCCTTTTTCCTGGCCTGACACAGGGCTAAGTCCTGAGCATCCAGTGACAGAATGGAAAGCTGGTGGGCTGAGGGTCCCCTGAGGCAAGACCTGGGTCTCAGGACATCACTGGGGCAACATCCAGAGTGTAGGTGCCAAACACGTGACTCCCAACAGTGGAGAGGATGGCAGAACCATATTAAAATGTATTAGGGGCATATCTATCAAAATGAATAAAATATAGGAAGATATTGACAAAGTCCTGTTCTAACACCAGCTGATATTCAACCCACAGGGATGCTCATGTAGTGGATTGTTGTCCCCATTTCATTTTATGTAGGAAATCTCTCATCTAGAGGATGGATTGGAAAGAGGAAAGACTGGAGACCACTTGGTAGGGCTACTTCCCTCTTCTGGTGATGGTGCTGAAACCCTTATCTGGGTTTGTGGAAGTATGGTTGTAGAGATGTAAACTGGAAACAGGGTGTGGGTGCCAGAGAGAGAAACACAGAGACAGAGAAAGAGACCTGGAGAGACTGAGACACAGAGATACAAATACATAGAGAGAGGCAGAGAGAAAGATAAAAATAGAGATAGAGAGACAGACAAGTATAGAAATAGGAAAGAGACACAGAGATTAAAACAGGGAGAAATAGGAGGAGAGATAGAGACAGAGACACGTTAACAGAGAGATGAAGACAGAGGAGGAAATGGAGAGATATGGAGAGGGAGAAAAAACAGAGACAGAGACAGAGAAAGAGAATCAGAATTAACAGGTAACCTCCTACAAGAGGCCGGAGATGGGGTCGCAGCCACAGGTAGGACAATTGTCCCAGGAAAGCAGAGCTTCCCATTCTCGGTCTCCCCGGCCCCAGGGAGGAGAGAGTGGATGCTGTAGTGGGTGTTTGGGGGTTAGCAAAGGAAGGAAAGAGGGAGCCCCAAGGCACAGCCTCTGCTTCCTGTGTCAAAGAGGAGGTAAGGTCTTCTCCTCAGAGGGATGAGCTTGGGCTTCTGGAGGATGTTTGGCTAGAGAAGAAGGTCTGGAGCAGTCATAGTTGGGAGGAAGGGAGGTGACCAGAGATCAGCCAGAGCATTGCCTCCCCTTGGAGTGCTCCCACCCAAGATCAGAGAAGGCAAGTTGTTCAGCCTGGCCAGGTGACTGTCTCCAGTGTCTTTCTGAAGCACAGCATGGGAGCAGAGAAGGCTGATGGGTTGAGATTCTGCTGCTCATCTGTAGTTTTCTTCAGGCTCTGAAGCCAGAATTGATTCTGGAGGGGGGTGGTTGGGGCTTTGCTTGAAGGGTTGTGGGACATTTGAGATGAATGGGCAATGGAGATAGGGAAGCTGCATGAGAGAGGCAGAGGTCCAGGTCCAGGGATCAGGTGCTCATGTGTGGTTTCATCTGGCCACATTGTTCAAATGCAAAATATTTGCTTGACAAAAAGACTCTTTTATGGAGTACTCCCACAAGGCAGGTGCTCACGTGGTGGTCAGAAGAATCGATACAAGGACATTCTCAAGGTCTCTCTAAAGAACTTTGGAACTGACTGTGTGACATGGGAGATACTGGCTCAGGACCGCCCAGCATGGCGTGCCGTCATCAGAGGTGCTATCAGCAGAGCAGAAGTGAAGTAGCTCAAAGGAAACGCTAGATGCACAAATTTAGAGAATCCTCCCAAATGTTGACATGGACTCTCTGTGCCCAACCTGTGCTAGAGTCGTCCAAGCTCGTCTGGTCTGATCAGCCACAGTCGGACACACTAACTTGACCTTAACAGAGTGACTGCATTTTGGTCCTTCTTGAGAAGGAAGGACAGCAACCAGTGGGAATCTCTTGGCAGCTGGCGTCCCCTGGTGCAACACCTTGCACTCTCCACAGACACACACATGCATGCACACACAAACATACACTAATGTACACGCTCATATGCACGCACGCGCACACACACACACACACACACACACACACACACACACACACACGGACAGGCTTTCAGATGCCCAGGGCTCCTCCCTGCTCTCCTGCTGTTGATCTACAGGATTCTCTTACACTTCTCTTGTCTCTGGGGCTGACTGTGCCAATGTGTTACTTCAAGACACCCCATGAGAAATGACCTGGATTCTCTCCCACAAACCATAGGAGGGCTGGAAACTTGCCCCCAGTAAAAGCTGGTCATCTTCTCTAATTAGCCAAAGCACAAGGCAGTGTCCACTCAGGAGAACTTCCTGCCTATCCAGTCCACATTTATTAAGTCCCTACTGTGTGCCAAGGACTGGGGAAATAACTGTGAAAAAAAGAAAGCCAGTCCCTGCCCTGAAGGAGCTTACCATGTAATGGGAGGAGAAAAAAGGAGTCTGGAAGGGAGTATTGAAAAGTGGGGGCCCTTGGTGTGGTGGGGTCTTATTCTGTGGAGGTGAAGCTTGTCAGAGCAGCAGGTGCAAGGTTGGGGGAGCCAGGAACCTAGTGTCTGCCCTCTCCAAAGGAAGGCTCTGGCAGGAGTCTGACTCTGCCTCCTGCCCTCCAATCAGGGGGCTCCAAAGCTCAAGAAATCCTTAAGGGCCCATTAGCCAAATCCCTTCCAGGCCCCTCTTAGGCCATGACATCTCCCACAGAAAACTGTGGGAAATTCCTTCCTTCCCCTCTACAAACCCACCCCACTCTGCACCATTCAGAGAACAGAGGCACTCAGTGCTATTTAGACATGTCTCCTTTTACATTTATTACATGCTTGTTTTTTTGGGTGTCACCGGGGTGGGTGAAGCTGGAGTGCCCACGAGGCAGGAGGGAGGTTGTGGAAAACCAGACCCTGGTGTCCCGGGACCTCCCCTTGAGGGAGCTCTGGAAGGGTCCCTGTGAGAATGGCGGCTCCTGTGCCATCATGGAGTCCATGGGGTGTGATGAGGCCAGCTGGTTTCTGACATCAAGGACCTAGCCTGGGTGTCATGGGTTGTGAGTCACAGCAGAACTATAGCTTGTCTCCAGCCTGTGGGATATGAGTGAGGGCCCTGACCTTGGTGATCTGAGAAGTGGCTTCTCCAGGCTCCTCTCAACTGAACTGGGATAATGCATGCTCAGCAGCAGAAGGGGGTGCAGGATGGTCCACATAGCAGGGAGGTGCAGGAGGCTGGCTGGCAGCAGGGGGTCTGGCAGGAGGGGATGACACAGGTCACAGTCTTGTAGCACGTGGGTACACAGATAGCAGGTTTGCAGCAGACAGGTGCACAGCATGTGGACTGGCAGGGGCTGGACAGCAGGAGGGGGAGCTGCTGCCAGCTCCACAGACTGCCTGGCAGCCGGTCAGGACGCAGGCTCCCTGAAGACAGTCACTGTGTCACCTTTGTCCTTAGCTCCTGCACCCTGGCCCAATGGCTGGCAGACAGTCGGGTTTCCTGTGTGCTTGTGGAGGGCCACTTCTCCAAGTGCCCTTGAGCTCCATGGGCTCTGGACTTCCCAGATGTGCCTCAGGGCTTCTGGGGCTGCGGCTGTTCCCATGTCCCAATGGAGGGCAGCTCTAATCTCTGTTTATTTTTTTAAACTTCAATATAAAACAAGAAAAGAAATAAGAAACAAATAAATATTAAAACTAAAATAATACAAAATTAGAAAAGAAAGAAAGCATTGCCACGTGCACAGAAGAACTTGAGAGGATTCAAAATATACAGCAATACATTTCCATTTCGAGAAAACCTATATAACAAATACTGTGCACTGTGTTCAGAGCTGTCCATCTTTTCTTTGCTTCCTTGTCAGTTTTCTTTCGTTTTCTGCTGTGCACTTTTTACTTTGTTCATTTTCCCCCCTTCTCCGCCACCAAAGAAGGCTACAATTAAGCTGTGATACACACACAGACACACACACACACAGTCATACACACAGAGACATGCATATATACAAAGTCATACATATACCTGTACATTCATCCAGTTACACATACATATACTTAGATATATAAAATTATACTCATACATACAAATATACATTCAAATTCATCTCTGAATGACCGTACTATACTTATTTCTCCTCTCTTTCTCTGAGGGTGGGTAACTTCTTCCTTCATAAATCCATTACTTTGTATATTTTTCCATGTCCGCCAACTCGTCATTTCCTACACCACAGCAATATTCCACCCTTATACCATCTAATTGTTTTAAATAGTCCAAAACAGTGTCGATGAATATGGCTGACACATGGTGTAGTTTCCCTACTTTTCTCTTTTGATTAAATCTATGTTAGCCTCAGCTTTGTCTGAGATCACGATTGCTACCCCTGCTCCTTTTTCCCTAACCAATTCTGCTGCTGATCTTTCTGTTATGTTCATGTGTGTCTCTTACTTCCTACCCCTCCTCTCCTTTACTTCTTCCTGCTATCTTGCCCTCCCAGTGCTTCACCTACCCACCTACAACAATCCCTCCCTTCTCCTTTCCTTCCCATTGATCTAAACACCCTTTTATGCCCCTCTTTGACGTGTTCCCCTACCCTTACCTCTAATGATCCCTCCTTTATCCTCTCCCCACTCCCTATCCCTCTAGAATTTTATTTCTTCCTAAATTTAGAAGACTTTTATACTCTTCTAGATATATATGTGTTATTCCCTCTTGAGCCCATTTCCAATGAAAGTAGGGTTCCAGAACTACCAGCCCTCATCCCCCAAAGAATTCCTCTGTGTCAGTTCTTGCTCTCACACCTTATTTAGAGAAGATAATTACTCTTTTTAGCTGTTCCTAAATGGTTTTACTTTTAAAAATCTTATCATATTTAGATCTACCCCAATCTTTCTTACAAACTACTCAATTACTAACAATTATCTTAGACATGCATTTTACATTTCCTCACAAACAAGGTGAACAGGGGCAGTTAGGTGGC